CCCGTGCCCCGAGGCTTCCCGGCAGGTTTGGGGGCCTGCGAGCCCACCCCGAGGCCCTGGAGGCGATCCCTGCCTCCCGGAGCTCCCCCCCAGCACAGCTCTTCCAGGGAGGCTTCGGGCAAATAGGGGAGAACTTCGGTCCTGGTCCAGGCAAGCAGAGGTGGTCCTGCGGCAAGCAACCTGCCGGCTGCAGCATCCCTGGGAGAAGGGGGGATGAAACCCCTCTCTGGCGTTTGGCCTGGTACAAAGGCGTTATGATAATAACGGGGAAATTGTCGTAGGACCGGGCCTTTGTCTGCACACTTGCGCAGCAGCTGGGAGCGATTATGCTGCAACAATGTTCTGTTCCATCAACATTATGTCCTCATTAAACCTTTATTAGTAGATTAGATTCAGATTTATTGATTTTTTTGTTGTTGTTGTTTTAAAGAGGAAAATCCAGGCTCCTCTCGGAGAGATGCCTGGAACTTTTTCCCACATGCAGCGCTTCCCAAAGCAGCGAGAGGGCAAAGGGAGAACCTGGATCCTTCCTCCGGCACGGGCAGCCTTCTCCTCCAGGAGGAAAGGACCACTGGGCTGCGCAAGGGGGTTAGGTCGGGTGCGGGACGGCTTCCTAGCGCAGGGAAGGACGGAAGACCGAGCGGCCACGCGGCCACCGACGTGGTCCATGGGATGCGGCGGCACAGGTGAGCATCTCGCGGTGGGTCCCCGAGGGGCACCAGGGTCCCAGCGGGCAGGAGAGGGGTGGCGAGGCTGACTCGGGGGACCTGCCGCCCCCACGAACGCGCGGGCTGGGCGGCATCGCGCACCCGGGTCAATGGGCCCATTGGATTTGTCTGTTGGAGCGTTTGATGTTACACGAAGGCGGCTCATTCCAGAGGGTGTTAATTGCCCGCTGCAGTGATCAGGTCTGTAGCACCATCGATCTCGGCAGGATCGATGGGCTGATTTAGTGTCTCGCGAACTCTTTAACTGGACACCTCATCAATAGGCAGCCACTTACAGACCATCAGCGCATTAGCGCGCGCCGGCACTGGCAGGGGGGAGCTGCGCCCCCGCTCCGACG